GAATAAGCATGAAGGTGAGGGGCTGAGATTCTCTGCAGAGCACAGCTGGCACCAGCATTTTGAAAGGCCCCTCTTCAACCAGACAGGATCAGAGGTTTAAATCAGGGAGGCAAGTGGAAATAGTTCCCATGGCACGGTTCCACCTACTACTCAGTTTGTGGCTGTGAATGAAGGAGTTACCCCTTCCAGCTCCAGTTTTACTACCTATAAAGTATGGATCACAAAATAAACATTTTTTTCTTTGCTGTGAAAAGTTAATGAAATATTCTTGGCATGATACCCAGTACACATCAACAGTCAACTGTACCTTATTCTTTTCTTCGTATCCCTTATTAACACACAACACTCCGTGTATTTATGTAACTCATTATGTAAATGTGTCAAAACTCACATAGATACAAGTACATGGAATAAGAAATTAAGAAAAGATTGTTCACTAAACAGATCCTAGCAAGACCATCTTAAGTAGTAAGTCACTATAATACATTTAATTTTAATTAGTAATTCCCAAGAGACTTGTAAGATATATATTAAAATTGCTTTATTTCCATATATAATATATATGTGTATATATTTTACACATGATGAGGGTTATCCAAAATAATGCCAAAGTATTTTGTCATTTGTTATCAGTGGTATGTTCTTGATTATAATCAGGGGTAGGACAGGTGAACACTTTATTTAACTTGACTTCTTCCCTGGCCTGTATTTGTATATGTTAAAATGTATGAATGTCCATGAGCTGACTGCTGTTCCCCAGGTGACTCTAGGAGGGCACAGGGCGGTCCCCCCTCCTCAGGCTGGATGGACAAGCCTGTCCAGATTGAGAGGAGAGAGTGTGACCCTCCCACGGTGCGGACAGCCAAGGACCAGGGGCAGCTCAGGATCAAGACAAAGGGAAGGGAAAAGGGCCTCTCCCAGTTACAGAGTGGTTGGTGAATAAAAGTGGAAGTACTTCTGAGAAACACACTCTTGACTTTAAAAAGAAAATAATTCTAGTACTTTCTAACCTTGCCATTAGGAGAGAAGGCAGAGGCCTTCTATCAAAAAGATTAGATGAATGTAGAGGTTTTCCCTGTTTTATCAGCAGCATCAGAGAGAGAGTTCACCTCCCAGCTGTGTCTGTGAAGAGTCATCACTTTCTGTATAGAAGGAAGCAGCCTACCTATCTGGGTCTGAAAAGATGCTCTGGAGAGAACAAAACATTGATGTGGAATTTAAAGGGCAATGGAAACAATAAAAACACATAAGAGGTCAATTGATCCAGACAGTCCGGCAGCTGGAGCTCCCAGCCCTGAGAGCTGGGGGAGAGCAGAGGCAGTTACAAAGCACACTGGGTCTTGAAGTGACTGACAGGAAAACAGCCGGTCTGCTCACTGTCCCTGTCTCACCCACAGGAACCACACTTAGGAAGGTCTTCCCTGTCCTCTACACAGTGTCTTGACTTTCTGTAGTCACTCTTCAGGTAAAAACTGTCACAAACAGATAGCTGATTGCCTTGGCTTTTTGAAAAGGGGATAATTCCTTGAAGAACCTCTTCTGTTGGGATAAAAATGACTTAAAGATCCAGAGGCAGGATCTTACACTGGCAAAAATAAAAAGACAGTGGCTATCAGGAAAGGAATGGCTAAGGAAAAGACAGTGGCTATCAGCTGGGCACCTGTGAGCTAAATGAATGCATGGGACACACAGACAGAGGATTTTTCTCTCCTGTAGAGGCTAGAGGTTCTATTCATGAATACATTTTATCTGTTTATATTTTCTTAGAGACCAATTCTATTTTTATAGCCCATGAAGCTTAATGTTCTCTAGCCTGCTCTTTTGACCTTCAGCCCCATCATCAAGCCCTTCCCTGCTCTATTTAGATTACTGGTGGGAGGTGACATAATTTGCAAACTTTAAGTAAAATCATATTGCGTATATTTCTGTATATACTTGTTGCACTGGCTGTGTATAAAGTGCATATGTACTTTTAGTAAATTAACGTACAGATATGAATATTTGAGCCTTATAGATATTAAAATGATGTTAAGCTCATTAGAAAAATAACCTTAAAGTAGATGCCATTAATTCCCCATACTTATTATTGCATTTGTTTGATTTGCAAGGTTATTTTGAGTTTATGGCAAATTGTTGGTTTTTGTCACCATACCTGTAATTCTACAGGGGAGAAAAAAGAAAATGACAAAGAAACAAGGGAGAGTTAGAAAAATGTACATAACAATGGTAAATTTAGGTAAAGGTAATATAGATTGATAACTGTTGTTATTTTGCTGTTACTTTCAAAACATCTGTTAAACTTTGTTTTGTAATAGAGGCTTTAGAAACATTAAAAGTATTTTTAATTCCTTATTTTTTCAATTTATAGGGAAAATCTCTTACTTAGTCTTCTTATTTATTGTGGAAAAAGTGTGAATGAGTAATCTATCAATACAGTATAATGGAACTTCAGAAGACATAGTTTAAAAAATCTAAATAGCCGAGGTACCCGGAACACCCGATGCGGTTTGTAATAGCAAATAGGACTATTCTTAGCCTGACCTCTAGTGTTAGCAGCAAATAAGCATGGAGTCTGGCAATATTAGACAAAAATAAATTGTTTAGAAAGAAACACATGCCAATAATTTTTATTGTAAAATAATTCATCCTTAGTGAATATGGAGCCCAGGAACACCAACCAATCCAGAAGGTGCTTGGAGAGTAACAACCTCATTTGGTGGAAGGAAAACCTGACCTGACTGCTTTTAGGATCACGGAATGCATCTGAATCAGTTGACGGAGCCGAGTTTCAGACGTTGCATCCACTCCACTGGCTAACAGCGTGTTTTACAGCAGTCAGGAGACAAGAGCTGGCTTTTAATCCCTGCCATTGCCACTCCATGAGCGCAGCTATCGCTAAAACACGGGTTCTGTCTGAAGTTGGCAGGCAGGTTCTAGTTACTCAAAGGGCACAGCAGAGAGGGGCAGAGAAAGAATTTATTTTTTGTTAATCCAGTCTAGTTCAGAGTTGTCTGACTTTCCTCCAATCAACCGAAACAATCTTAGTAATTATCACCAATTTACAAGACATTTCTAATGTAGCTCATGAAATCCAACCTACTCAAGTGTTTCCCTCTTTTTTCTAGCAGCAGAAGCCCTCTGAAGCTTTAAACAAAGTGTCTTACCATATAAATAAGCCTGACACTAATTTTTATCCATGACTTCAGTGACACATTCTTCACAAATAATGAACTGTGAGCTGTTTGCTTATTTTTCTTAAGATCTGGAACAGTCAGCTCTTCCAGTCTCCTTTGCCCTTACATACTTTGTCTTAATACCAAGGACTTGTTACTCTTGATAAGACATACACTACTAAGTTGATTTTTCAGCAGAAGTCACAGTTGCTAACATTCCAATTATCACTTGGTTTCTTACCTTGGGAATATTTATAAGCTTATTTTAAAAGGTCATACTTAGAGGTAACAATTCCTAGTGCTCTTAAAACAGCAGAATTCGCATTTACTCACTTTTTTTGTCTTTTAGTGTGGCAATGAAAATGTTTGAATTAAAATGCTTTTAGAAATGTCAAAATAAACTTGCAATAAGCCTTTGCAAAATTACTGATGGAGCAATTGCTGATGATGCATGCTATATATATACATATATTTGAGTTGTAGAACTCTTCCACTTCATTTCTTCATTTCATGGAGCACCACATTCCTCTCTGGGTTTGCAGGCAGAAATAGTCTCGGCTGCCTGCCTAGTCCACCTACAACCAATTCCAGCTCTGCTTGTTACCTAATATTATTACTAATCTGGGTTAGTTAAGGTTTTTGGATGCAAGCAACAGAAACAAATATTAAACAAAAAGAGGTGATTTATCAGAATACAATTAGAGGAGCTCGTAGAATAAACCCACATCATTATGGTCAATTAATATTCGACAAAAGAGGCAAGAACACCGATGGGGTGACGATGGTCTATTCAACAAATAGTGTCGGGGGAAGCTGGTCAGATAGATATATGCAAAAAATTAAACACCTTCTTATACCACGTGCAGGAATAAACTCAAAATGGATTAAAGACTTAAATGTTAAACTCAAAATCATAAAAAATCCTAAAAGAAAACATAGGCAGTACAATCTCAGACATTTTTTTGTAGCAATAATTTTTCTGATACATCTTCTCAAGCAAGGGAAACAAAAAAATTGAGCAAATGGGTCTACCTCAAACTAAAAAGTTTTCGCACAGCAAATGAAACCATCAATGAAATGAAAAGACAACAACCCGTGGAATGGGAGGACATATTTGCAAATGATAAGGGGTTGTTAATATCCAAGATTTATCAAAAACTTATATAACCCAGCACACACAAAAATATCCAATTTAAAAATGGACAGAGGATCCACCTAAATAGACACTTCTCCAAAGAGGACATACAGATAGCAAACAGACATATGAAAAAATGTACAATGTTACTAAAAATCATCAGAGAAATGCAAATTAAATCCACAATGAAATACTACCTCACACCAGTCAGAATGGCTATCATCAATAAACCAGTAAACAACAAGTGCTGGCAAGGAGGTGGGGCAAGGAGAACCTACTACAATGTTCCTGGGAATTCAGATTGGTGCAGCCACTGTGGAAAGCAGTATGGAAATTAAAAACGGAACTGCCTTATGACCCAGTTATACCACTTATGGGAATATATCCAAAGAAACCTGAAACACTGATTTGAAAGAATCTGTGCACCCCTATGTTCACTGCAGTGTTATTTATTTGGAAGCTGCTCAAGTGTCCAGCAGTAGATGAGTGAATAAAAATGGTGATATACAATGAAATACTACTCAGCTATAAAAAAGAAGGAAGTCTTACCTTTTTAAAATTTAATTATTATTCAAGTACAGTTTTCGGTCTTTTACTCCCATCCCAGCCCACCCATCCAGTGCTCCCAACCTCCCTCCCATTTCCAACCCCCTTAGTTTTTGTCCATGTGTCCTTTATACCAGTTCCTGTAAATCCTTCCCCTTTTCCCCTGAAATTCCCTCCCCTCTGGTACTTTCAGCCTATTCTCTATTTCAGCGTCTTTGTTTTTATTTTGCTTGTTTGTTTGATTTGTTGTTTAGCTTCCTGTTAAAGGTGATATCATATGGTATTTGTCCTTCAACAACTGGCTTATTTTACTCAGCATAATGCTTTCCAGTTCCATCCATGTTGTTGCAAAGGGTAGTAGCTCCTTCTTTCTCTCTGCTGCATAGAATTCCATTGTGTATATGTACCACAATTTTTTGATCCATTCATTTACTGATGGGCACCTAGGTTGCTTCCAACTCTTGGCTATTGTAAATTGTGCTGCTAGAAGTCTTACCTTCTGAAACAGCATGAAACAACCTGGATAGTAGTATGCCAAGTGAAGTAACCCAGTCAGACTAAGACAAGTAGAACTAATGAATAAAATAAACAAACAAAATAGAAGCAGACTCACAGATACAGAGAACAAACTGGCAGCTGTCAGAGGAAACTGGGGTTGGGGAGCTGGGTGAAAAAGATGAAGGGATTAAACAAAAGCCAAAAAAACAAAGCCTTATAGACATAGATAATGGTTTGGTGATCACCAGAGGGAAAGGGGGGGTGAGAGGAGGTAAAAGAGAGTGAAGGGGGATAAATGGTGATGGAAGGAAACCCGATGTTGGGTTGTAAATATGCAATACAATGTATAGATGATGGATTATAGATTGTATTCCTGAAACCTATATAATTTTGTTAACCAATATCACCCCAATAAAATCAATTAAAAAATATCAAACAGCAAAAAAAAAGTACCACCTGTGCTCATCCAAAATCAAATTCCTGTTTATGGCTAGATTTTAGGACCTTGCACTGCTTCTACCAAAAAGAATAAGAGGTTTTCCGGGCCCCGGGGGAAGGAACACGGAGCCGCAGCACTGTCGGAGGTGAGCGTGGTTGTCATCAGGAGCGGCTGCACCGGCATAATAAACACATCTCGACTCACAGCGTTGCCATGGCCAATTGAACAGGAGTTTCCTGAAAGCCAATGAAAATAAAAATTCAGGTCTGGGGAACAAAAGCCTGTCTGGAGCCACAATAATAAATAGTTTCAGTCCTCTCTCAAGTCCCAGACCTGAAACACTTTACAGACAAAAGCTTCTTGAATAAAGGAAGGCAAGGTGAACTTCAGAATGAACCTTGCAATACATCAATTATGTGTACCCTGTGAATTTTTTCCTAACCATAATGAAAGGGTCATAAAACTAGTTACCAGGGTAATTTTTCTATGAAATGAAAATGCCAAGTCTTTTAAGGATTATTAGGAACTGCCTCTGAGCTAATTCTTGGGACCCCAAAACACTGCTCTGTACCCCCAGTCTTACATGGGCCTTATGGGCTGCAGAAAAGCGGGGCCTTCACATTATCCTCCGAAAAACATTGAAGAAGCACAATTCCATCTGTGGTTATTTTAACAGTTCCTGAGTGTATAGTTTGGACAAACACCTTCAGAAGCAGGCAGCATCCCTACCTTGATGCCTCCGCCCACCGAGGAAAACCAGTGGTGAGGCAGGACCAAGTGGCAGTTTGGGGGGGCTCTCTCGTCACTGAGCAGCACATCTTGAATCTCAGTCTTCTACCTCATTAGGGGTAACAGCAAAGAGTAGGGTGACCATCATGAACTTAAAAGATTTAGGGGATAATTTCTCTCAATTTCAATTTAGTTATGCAATTCAACTCATGCAAAAGTGAACAGGTCTAAAATAGAAAACTTTTTGGGCTTTCGTTTACCTGAAAAAATGCTAATGTTGCTTTGAGATTAGGCATCGCTTTCTTCTAGCACATCAGAGATATTCTTCTGTCTTCTACCCGACATTTATGCTTCAGAGAAGTCACTTGTCAATCTAAAGGCTGCTACTAGGATTTTCTTCTTTGATTCTCCAGTTTCACTTTAATGATTTTAGGCATATGTTTCTTTTTATTTAAGCTGCTTGGGGTTCATTGGGAGTTTGAATGTGAAGATTGAAATGGTTCATCCATTCGGGAACATTATAAGCCATTATCTTTTGAAATATTGCTTCTATCTCGTTTGTTCTTTTCTCTTCTTCAGAAATTCATGTTTAGATCTTCTCCATCCCTCTGTTTTTTTAATTTTTTATTTATTAATTTGAGAGAGAGAGAAACACTGATTTGTTGTTCCACATGTTTATGCATTTTTTGGTTGATTCTTGTATGTGCCCTGACAGGGGATCAAACCCGAAACTTTGCCTTCTTGGGACAAGTGGTCAATACAAATGAGCTACTTGGCCAGGGACCTTCCTCTCTTTTAATAGCTTCTTAACCTCATTTCTATTTCATATCAGCTTGTCTTCTTATGCTTTACTCTGAATGATAACTTCTCATCTGTCTTGGTGTTCTGATTTCCCACTGATTTTTCTCTCAGTCATAGCTAATCTACAATATTATTAACATCTGCATTGACTATTTAATGTAGTTAATTTATTTTAAGTTAATTTTAAACTTACTTTTAATAGAATTTATAAATTCTTGAGAGCAATACTTAGCTTATATACTTAAGCCTTCCTACTATTTCTAGAACATTCATCTATAGCCATAAATCTTTCTCTAGACATGACTTTAGCTACATACTACAATTCTCATAATGTAATATTAATCAGTTCAAATTATTTTTATTTTACATTGTAACTTTTCTTTAGTTCAAGAATTAGTGATTATATTGCATAACTGCCAAGTTACTTGTTTAACTCCACATGGTTAAATAACAAATTGTTTATATGAGTCCTTTGAGAGGTTGCCCAAGGTACACCAAAGTTTTGTAAATATTTCACATGCATTATGATTGTGAATTTATCTATTTTATTTTTTAATGTAAATTCTAGCTTTATGCATTTTGTGACTATACTGTGTTGTATGTGTATATATATATTTCTGATGTAATAGCTTGTTCATTAATTCTCTCTATGGCCATGTCTAATTGGTTTTTACAAACTGTTAATTACATTTTTGTTTTCAGCTATTATATGCTTTCATTTTAGAAATTCTATTTAGTCACTTTTATAGTTATTCAGCTAAATTCTCAATCTTCTGTTTTATTTCCCTGAGCATAACAGTCATAGTTATTTCAATGTAAATAGAAATAATAGTAACTTTGGTAACTCTCTCATCTGGATTTCTCATTGATTAGTTTCTATTACTCATTATTTTTCTTGGTTATGGATCATGTTTTCTACTATGCAGTGCTATTTATATACTTATGTATATTTACTGACTACTAAATATTGAACATAAAGAGCTGGAAGAATCACTGGAACTGGTAATGGTGTATCTTTCTCTAAAGAGGATTCACATTGATTTCTGACAGGAGCTTAATGACAAAAGAAATCCCATATCATCTCAATCCAATTGGAAAGGGAAAAGATTTTCACTGGTAAGAACAATTTATTTTCAGTAGAGCTTATCTTTTAAGGTATAGACTTTCAGAGTGAGCCCTGGACACTTACCAGGAACTTTAATGGGCCTTGAATTCCAATTTTTATTTCTAAACCTGGAACTAATTGAAGATGTTTTCAGGGTCTTAGACTTCAGGATCTACAAGAAAATTGTTCTTTTTAAAATCCAGAATCACCTTTTGGGTATTTTTGTTTTCTTACATATTGGTCCCTTAATTCTTCATACACTTGATTGCTCTCTGATATCATTAATGATTTTTAAAATATCTTGCACACCTTCTTTACTTCCTCTTCAGTGTAATGTTGTCTGAATAGCTTAGAAACTCAGTATTTGAATGACAGTGATTTCCATGAGGAAAACAGTGTTTTTTTTCTGAGTTGATAAAAAATGTCACACTACATTTTCTTCTAAAACAAGAATAAAAGAATTTAAATGATAGATGAAAATGAAATGTTAATTCCATCAGTATTTGAAATATTAACAAGGATATCTCTCTAGATTATAAAATGTGTTCAGAATGCAAAGAAACTATTCATACATAAGATTTTTATATCTAATTTATCTTTTTTCATCCTCTTAAACTTATAGAGAATTGGAAATGTAAAGGCAGAAAGGGTAGAAGAGAGTAAGAGGGATTTTTATGTATCATTTCTCATTAATCATCTATAGATTAATATGAAGTATCAAGCAACTAATTTAGAATAGCATGATGGTTTCTAAAAGCTGGTTTTGTAGAAATAAATTCTTTACAGAAAAATAATAATACAGAAAAGTTATATTTTATCACTTAAAGTTCACAGTGTACTACCCTGATGAATCAGATATCTTTTATTTATTTTGTATTGGTATTTTGACTTTTAACTGCTTAAAAGTACTTAGGAGATCCAGGGGACACAATATTAGAACTGGTATATTTGTGCTTTAATCATCTACAAAGTTAAGTTGGATTGAATTTGCACACTATTCTATCTTGGAAATTGTATACTTGGGATTAAAATTCAAACTAAATAGTATTCTCTGTTTTTTATTATAGAAAAACTAAAAGTCACAGATCATTAATATAATATACATAAATGACTACCTAATTCATAATTATTTTATTATTTTCCAAACCGTACTCAGTTTGCTCTCTATTTTTGAATTCTGTCAACAGAAAGAAAGAAAACTCAGAAAGACCAGTAGAAAATATAGTATTTAAGCAATATACCTTATCACAGAAATTGTGAAATTTCTGCAACAGGGAAACTTCAACAAATGGTGAACTTTAACAATGTAATCACCTTGATGGCCCCGGTGCCTGATAGCACAGCAGCCAAGGGCTTTCTGTTAGTCGTTTTTAAATATGGATCAGTGCCCAATGTGACCATGAGAAAAATCCTTCATAAGGGAAGTTCAAAGCCTCCTTGTTAAAGAGATGCCATGCCCAGTGCAGGGGTGCAGATTCTCTAATGTGTTTCTGACTGCCAGGGGGAGAGATTGAAGAGAGAATTCAGAAGACTGTTTTCCTCTACAGTTCCTATAGCAACCCCAATTTTCCCAATTTCATACTTCTATTAAGCCTTTAGCTACCCCCAAACATCATTTTATCCACATATTAATATTGTTCATACAATAGCATAAAGAATTTTGTGAAAAATATTTGAAATATGGATAAATTCTATATTCCCATATCAAACACTACTACTTTAAGATTTTTAGTTCATGAATTAAATGATCTGTATATTTTCTTACTTGAGAACATTATTTAAAAGTGATGAAAATCATAATAATTTAGAAGCCCACAGAGGGCTCTTCAAATTTAAAAGTGGAATATTGGGAATTAAGATTTCTGAGTTGTAATTCTGATTTGCCCATTAATTCTTCCAACAAGGTGCCTTCTAAGGTACTTAATCCTTTCCAGTATCAATTTTCTCATTTGTAAAACAAAGCAGATTGGATTAGAATATTTCTTAGATTTCTTATACTTCAAATCACGTATTTGAGGTATAGACCATTAAAAATTTTGAGGAATTTCCCCCTATTCTAGGCGACTAAGGTAAAACTGAAGAGCGTCACTTTATGTGCAGTAGACCAGGACACGGGGGACTGAAGTCATGCCTCCTTAGTCCTTCATCAGCATAAGTAAAACTTGGGTCAATTGCTGTAACAACAGGTTTTTTCAAAAGTCTCAGTTTGATCAATGAAAGTACAGCCAAAGCCCACAAACTCCAGGAGCAGCTCCTTCTCCCCAGCAGGAATCAGGAGTTGGTTGGATGATGGGACGAACAACGTGCTACCTCTAGAGCTTCTGTACCCTCATCAGAGGTGAAGAGACCCGGGGAGCCGCTCCTCCCCATTCCCCAGACTCTCAGCCTTTCCACCACTACCTCTTTTGAGCCAATGGGAACTGACTTTGGTAAACTTGACAGGACTTGTGCTTCCTGTCTTCAGTCACAGGAAGCACAAATCCTATGACAGCAGTCACCCTCCAGTGTCTTATCACCAAAAGGTTCGGTCCTTCCCCTTTCCTCTCCCCTTTTTCCATCTCTCTCTAACTTCAGAAAACCTTCCAATGTGCCCTCTGGCTTCACCTTTTATCAGCAACAAATCTCCCTGCATTCTCACCCTCTCCTCTAAATGTTCCTTTTATGTTCTCGGTGTAACCAAACCTGACTCACCCTTGAGGACCTTCCTTCTTCTTCACCCTCTCAAATGTTTTCTTTCACTTTGTCCTGATGGAAAGGAGGACAAATGGTTGATCTTTTCTTCCTTGCTATTTTCAAACTGTTCTTCCCTTCCTTTGGAAGACCACTCAGGCTTTGAATCTTACATATCAGATAATCTTTTTATACTTCTATTTTCTTATTTTATTCATTTCTATTGATACTAGATCCTCAATTCTATCATTTCATTTATGAAACAAGAGACTTTCTCTAATTCTTGGCCATTTCAATATACAAGTAGCTAATCCTTCCCATTCTCTGCCTTTTACTTATTTGATCTCCTCTTTACAATGAATCTACCCACTACTCTCAAACACTAACTTTTATGGTCACACTCAAGATCTTGTCATTATCAACATCTATAGAACAAAATGGCAACCTTGATTTAGATGCTGATCTGTGGCACTAAATATAAAGGCAATCAGCTGCTCCGATCACCAACAGGAACTTATTCAGTGACAGCCAACCCTAAGCTCCTTAAGACACTGAAAATGCACACTGGCCTGAAATGCTCCCCCTGTTGAAACATAAGAGATGGAGTCACTGTGTCTTTTGCTTTTAATAGAGGAAACCAAACAAAGATGCGTATTAAATCTCTTTGTAGTATTTACACCTGTGCTGTTTTAATGTGAACTATAAAATCCATAAACTTTCTAAAGCACAGACATGTACCCTGCAAGCACTAAAAAAATAAAAAATAAAATATGGGTGATGGAAGGAGTAGAGTATTCCTATGTTACTAAAAATAAATAAGAGCTTCTAGGAAAGTCTACTAGAGAAAATAGTAATTATGAATTTAGCTTTTACAAAGTACTTAAATGAGATTGACAAGGTCAGTGTGTTCAACTAGGGCCATAATTACCTAGGTTATTTAAATTTAACTTCTGAGTGCAAGTTATTGTCAAAATACAAGGGGTTTAGTTTACCCCAGCTCTGTTTGCTAATTACAGGCTTACTGTTAAATTAGGTCGTATTTCTCTGTAGCAGCAAGGTATTCAGACAAGAATCCCATGTCTCTATTAAACATTTACATTAGAACGGCCTGATTAGACCAGGATTTGCTTGGGTAGCACTGGCAGATGTTCTGAAAGGCTGTGGAAAGTGCAGTCACTATTTCATAGAAGATGGGCACCCACCTCTGACTATCCTAACATCAGATCAGGGCATGTGAGGACATGTGTCAATCAAGAAATTTAATGCGTGCTTCTCGGTATAATTCAGCACTGTCATCAATAGCCTGAGTACCTGTAATAAAGGTTATTTATTTTCCAACTGCCTCAGGAAAATATTGCAAGGATTCATAAAAGAAGTTCAGAAAACTTTTAGTTTTTTTTAAACTCAGTGTTATGGAAATAGAAAGCTATTCAAATCTTTATAATCATAGTTTTAATATTAAAAACATCCACATGAGTTTCCTTTATGCTAATGGACGCACATCTCCCAGACTGGACAGGAAGAAAGAAAACAACGTCTGTTTGCAGATGACATGATCTTGTATACAGAAAATGCTAAGGAATCCACTGAAAAACATGAGCACTCTACGCAAGTTCAGCAGTGTTGTAGGAAAATCAACACACTAAAATCAGTGCTTTACACGCTTGCAAAGAACAATTGGAAAATGAAATTTAAAAAGCAATTCAATTTACAATAGCAGCAAAAAGAATAAAATACTTAAAAACAAATTTAACAAAAGTATAACAAAACTTATGCCTGAAAACTACAGTATATTGTGGAAACTACAGAATCACATAAAAATCTTAATATTCTTAAAATAGTACTCCCTAAATTGATATCGAAATTTAATACAACTCTTATCAAAAACACAGTTGCTTCTTTGAGGAAATCAACAAGCTGACCCTAAAATTCACATAAAAATGTAAGAAAAAGAAGAGCAAAAAATTTTAAAAAAAAGAATAAAGTCGTACTGAATTTGTCGCACACTTCAACAAGTTCGATCATAATAAGTGTTGGTGTTCGTACTGACTACAAACTACAGTAGTCAATAAAGAATGGTATTTACATAAATAAAGATTAGTGGTATAGAGTTAAACACCCAGAAATAAAGTTTAAAATTTAAACATGGTTACCAGATGGCCTAGGAATTTCTCTCCTAGACATATATCCAAGATCAATGAAAACATAAGTCCCCAAGAAAACTTGTGCAAAATATATAGAAAAAAGTATTATTCATGATTCTAAAACATAAAAGTACCCAAAATGTCTATCATTTGATTGATGGATAAATGAAATGTGATACATCCAATAGGAGAATATTATTCAGAAAAGTAAAGAAATAAAGTATTGATACATGATCAAGATGAATGGCCCTTTAAAACATATGCTAAAGTAAAGAAGCCAGTCACAAAGACTACATATATTATTTCATTTATATGAAATGTCCAGAATAGGAGAATCTATCTAGAAAGAAAGTTAGCT